CCTGGGCCTGCGCTCCTTAACCACGAGCCCCAGTGTGCCAAGGCCAGGTAAGCCAGGGGTCTCCTGAGGGGCATTCAAAGGAACATGGCCAGGAGGTGAAGGGAGGGTCTCCTTCCGCTCTGCCCTGCCCTAGGGTGGCCACCTCAGCAGTCCTGGGCCCAGTTCTGGGCCCCTCCAGTTCAAGAGAGACCAGGAGCTACTGGAGAGAGCCCAGCAGAGGCTTTGGAAAAGCTGAGGGGCTGGAGCATCTCTGTGCTAGGACAGGCTGAGAGCCCTGGGGCTGTTCAGCTGCAGAAGACAAGACTCAGAGGGGATACAACCAATGCTGACCAAGAGCTAAAGGGCCCAAGGGGGTCAAGAAGATGTGGCCAGACTCTCATTAGTGCTGTCCAGTGACAGGACAAGGGGCAGAGGGCACAAACTGAGACCACGAGGTTCCATCACAACAGGAGGAGAAACTTCTCTGCTGGGAGGGTGCAGAGCCTGGAGCAGCTGCCCAGAGAGGCTGTGGAGTCTCCTGCTCTGGAGAGATCCCAAACCTGCCTGGCTGTGACCCTGGGCACCCTGCTGGGGGGGAGCTGCTGGAGCAGGGGGTTGGAGGAGATGATCTCCAGAGGTCCCTTCCAACCCCACCCTGCTGGGATTCTGTGAAGACTAAAAGCTGTTACTGTGCACCACTGTTTGCCATAGGAGAGTCTTCCAGCTGGCATGCTGACATTTACCCTTTGGATGAAGGGGAATCCACTCCCTTCCTGTAGTGCTCCTGCTGCACGTGGATGTTCTTCCCTCTCACTGTGACTGTCACCAGGGGAAAACCTTTCTGCAGCGTCCAGGTGTCCATCATTGCCCTCACATCAACAGTCTCTGCTTTTGTCCAGTGCTGTTTTTTAGCAAGGCAAAAAGAAGACAGGTAAGGAGAGGAGGAAGACGGGAGTACAGTTACAGTCAGACAGAAATGGGTCTGTGGGAACTCTGCACAAGCTGCTGGGTATTGGTAAGCTCTGCATGATGTCCTGACATCTCCAGCTAGTCTTCTTGGGGCCACTTTCATACAGCTAATGACATATCTTGAAGTACCACTGTTTTTCAGTCAGCCTTGGCCACAGGAGTAGGACATCTGTCCAAACTCAGAAAAAAAAAAACCTTCCATAGAAACTGAAGGAACTTACAGTGGAACCATGCTCAAAGAATGCTCTTGGAGGTTGCCTGTATCCATGCCAGGGCATGGAACATCAATGTGAGAGGACACAGATGTGTCAAACTCCTCAGTACTGACTGATGGGTAAAAAAATAGGTGCTTACTGCAGCTGAGGAGGATTGCTGGCTCCTTCTGCAGAAACCATCACCATCTAGTTCGTTACTGCTGGTAGCTGCTGCAGGGCAAATCTGAAAAGAAAACAGAAAAAAGTGTTGGTCAGCTCTCTTTGATGTCATAATCTAAATCCTGGTCACAGTCTTCAGTAATATATTAGAGACACATCATTCATGAGAAGTACAAACTGAAAAAAACAAACAAAAGGGAGTCAGGAACACTTGCACTTGACAGGCTGTTCCACAAATCTTCATTTTTCGTGTTCCGATAGCTGTATTTCTGCAGGTACTGCACAAGTCCAGCTTTAAACACATCAGCAGTCAGGTAGTCCCTCAGCATATTTAATATACAAGAACCCTGAAAAAAAAAAACAGTGATAAAGTGTTTCCAAAACTACTGCTTGGCTGGCAGGGTGTTTCTTTCAGAAAAGTTTCAGCATGACACTAATCCCTGTAACGGTCACTACTACATGTTTTTCTGATTGAACAGTTATTGGGGTTTAAGCATATTGAAGCAGTACTTGGTTTTTCTGTGGCTGTTATTCTTAAAACCACCAATGACTGAGTTATGGTTTGGGGTTTTTTTTATTGCTATACAAGCCAACACCATGTAATGCTCCAGTGAAAACCACTCCCCGGGTTAAGAACCCAAAACATCAGTTTATGACTAAAGTGATAGAGAGCAGATAGCAGTCATAAAGGCTTCCCCATTTTAGAAATGGAAAAGGCAACCACCATTTGAATCCACCCAAGTGTTCTGGGTAAGGAACTATTCAGGCCATGAAGACATTAACACTGTGTGTGAGGGGTGAAACCAGTAAGGTACAATCACACAGTACAAGCAGGACAACTGACAACCACAGCAGTTCTGTGTTTTACCTTGCTGTAAGAAACATCATCAAACATCTCCAGAATTTGAGTTGGATCTTCCACAGGAGTAGATATAGGATGTGATGAATTTAATGCATCCACTTCCATGGCATCAAAACATCTGCTTAAGAAGTAGTCTTCCTAACAGGAGGCAAACCCAAATATTACTACTATGTTTTGCTCAGTGACCAGTGAATCCCTACTTCTTTAACTTTTAGGCTATTCCACCATGCTCTTTAAATCATATAAAGAAGACAAAACATCTTCCTTTTTAATCTAGAGCATAAAGAAACCCAAAACAGTAGCACAGACAGATAAATCCCTTCTATTGTTTTAAATAGTTGACCTGCTTGAAGATGTCCACGCTCAGTGCATGACCTTTAAAAATCCCTTGCCATCCACACTTCTTGATTCTGTGATTCAAAATACTCCAGCTAGTGAGACTTGAAAAGAAGTCCAAAAACACACCCACATATTCCCACAGTTTGATGAGAGAGTGGACAGTAATCATAAAACAAATCTGAAGCAAACAACAAAAGGTGAATTTCTGTCGCTGTAGAGGCGTCCGGGTGACACACAGGCTCCAAAGTAAGTCAGGAGGTGAAGAAAGGGTCTAAACTTTATTACAGTAAGCATCTCTTATAGATTCACTGGATTATTGACATTTGTGTCACAGGTTTATTGGCTAATGAGTTGCTATGGTACATTCCTTGGTCCCTGAACCCAAACATTCACCAAGGCTGAGGTGCAGAGTGTTTATCAGGTGTTTATCATTCTGTTCTCAAAGCTCAAGCTCTCAGTGTGTAGGGTTTTTCAATAGCTGCAGCTTGCTGACTGCAGCTAACAGTGGAGAATCACCTCAGATCAGACTGTCAGCATCCACAAATTTCCCTATTTTGATGCCACTGGGCACAACTCTGCCCAGGTGCATTGCTCATCTCACTTCCACAAAGGTGGAGGTCTCACTTCAGACCTTTACTAAGGCTAGTGGAAGGATTTTAGTGTCCTCAAGTCTAACCCTATCTGATTTAATTTGGTAAAAAAATGCATTTAAATTTTTGGAAGTCTAAATATATTTTTAAAAACATTATGCTTGCATTCCAATCACTAACTTCTACCTTAAGTGCCTGAAAATATTTACATATAGTAAAAGCAACGTTGCTGCCCTTCAGAGTTAACATCAGATAATCCTCTCCAGCAGAAATTTAAAGAGCTTCACAGCACCAATCTCCTTGTACCCTTAGTAATCAGTGTGCTCAGAAGGCAGTTATGAAATAAAAGTACAGAAGCTGCTGCTTACAACTCTCAGCTCTGGATGGGTAACGCTGACTGACAGGAACTCCATGAACTTTGCAAACCCTTCATTTAACCACAGGTCATTCCACCACTCCATGGTGACGAGGTTGCCAAACCACTGGGGAGACAAGCAAACAAACAAAAAAAGGCAGTTCTGAAATTACATACAGAATTTATGACAAAAACTGCTACTAACATGTATGAAACTGCATTAGTAGTATGCTACTGACCTCTAAGGAACCTGTTTTTAGTGACAGGGCTTTCACTGGTCTCTTCCCACTACATTTGTGATTTTAATGGTCTTGATCTCATCACTAATGGTCAGACCAGCAGCCGAGCTCCTCCCTCTGCTCCCACCTCACCCCCCAGAGACCCAAAGTGCCATACAACCAGAGCAGGAACAGGTCGAAGCGCTCACCCACCACAGGGGACGTGAAGAAGGGAGCAGCCAGGTGAGGAGCCAGCTGTGGGAGATGGGAGCAGCCAGGCCAGGAGCCCAGTTCTGCAGCAGGGACTGAGACAGCTTCGTGTCCTGCCCCTGCCACCCTGGGAGCTCCACTGGCCGTGGAGTCAGGGAGGCACTGCCTCAGCCAGAGCCCTCACACAGCACATGTGTGGGCAAACCTCCCAACCCCCTGCCAGCAGGGTCAGCTCTTACAGAGGTGGCTTCTTGCCCCACCTCCAAGTTACTCT